TGGTATCTTTGTAGATACTCAGTAAATGTTTGTTTTTTTCTTTAGTTTTATCTTCCTCATTTAATTATTAACACAAATTAGGTATAATAGCCCCCAAAATTTCTGTTACTAACCATTGTACCTCTGGTATATATTGTTAGCTACTAACATAACTGGTGGATATGTCTAAAAAATAAAGATGTAAGTCAGAATTTCCCCACTACTACTTTAGGGTTTGGATGAAAAAATGATAATAAAAATTTCTATAGTCTGTTGAATACGGGGAATGTGGATTAGGAGCACAGTTTTATTAAGTACCTCCTGATATCCTGCCTGAACTTACTATTTATTTTGTTGTAGGTCATTAATTCCTCTGTATTTTAAAATTTTTGGAATATGACTCAGAACAGTTCAGATATAGTCAGGGTAACTTTTAGTAATAGTCCACTTTATTTCTAGAATTTTGTAAATTATTTTGCATTATCTATTGAAAGCAGTGTATGTCTCAGAGAATAGGCACACTTATGACCTACCATTTGCTAAAAACAACAATTAACAAATATTTATTGAGTACCTTGAGCTTTATTTTATGCACCTAAAATAGTCACCTAACAAATCAAGACAGTATAAATCTAGTATCAGAAATATTCAGCCAGTTCAGACCAGAAGATTCCTTTAAAGGGAAAGATTAAGAAGGAGCTGAGTAATCACGGAAATTTTTATACATGTAGAATTTAAGCTAAAAATGGAGAGAAGTAGGATTCAGATTAGAACAGAATAGGACATAAATGGGAGTTAGAAAGAAGGAAAAATGTAGGCTACAGGAAAAAGATAAAATTGTTAAAATCTTTCTGGATAGAGCAGAGGATTCACTTTATATAGAAATATGTATAAGCTAGGCCTGTGTTATTTTACTCTCTCAGAACAGCTAGAATAGTACCATCTACAGAGATGAAAACAGCAACTGTTATTCAGAGATTGCTTAGAAGCCAGAATTCAATCTACTATCAACCAGTACACACAGTAAACTCATGCCATCAGGCTCTCTAAATATAGACCCTTTTGAGAATTGGCAATTATTCAAAAGCACATCAACACATTCCCCAGTAGGTTCAATGTCATCTTCTTTAAAAAATTCTCAAGCCCTGTTTTTGTTTTGTTTTGTTTTTAAGTCTTGATTTCATGTGCAAAACTAGTGGCTATCTACACCATTATTTGTCTACAAAATTTAAACTGCTATGAAGCACCAAATTCCAATTTGTTGATCTGTTGTGTGAAATTATTTTCAGTCAATACTTAACTTATAATCAAGACAATCAAGGAATGTTTTCTTATCATAGAATTTGTCAGTGCTGTCTTAAGTTAGCTTAGCATTTTATGTAAAACTACAAATTATATAATGATAAAGAAATCACAGTGTCTCAGACTGAGGAGAATTCAAAGGCCATTCTGTTTCTTCTCCAAAGAAGAAATACAAATGGTCTTAAGTATATTTCTTAATTGCATGCTCTTACTCTGTGCCAAAATACTTGCTCAGCTTTCGGTGGGGTTCCCATGTGAAGAAGAGAGATCATATCAATAAACATTACAAATAAGTATAAATATACTAATTATGGTAAATTCTATGTCTAATTAGAGCCCTTACTAAAAAGGTAGTTTACTTGTATAATCTTTTATGAGGCAACATCACATTCCATTAATTGTTAAGAGTATAGACTGCTTGGGTTTGAATCCTAGATCCACTTCTTATTAGTGTATGCTCTTACACTAACTTAACATCCTATACCTCAGTTATCTTATGTGTGAAAGAGAGAAAGCAAGAGTACTTAACCCACAGGGTAGTTATATTATGTGAGTTAATCTAAGTAATACATTACCAAAATACTAAAAACAATATTTTCTGTTTAAATATTTGCTGTTACTACCAGTATAAAAAGCTTTAGCTTAAAAAATAAGTAGATAATGGCTAAATAAATACTGAAAGAACTTAGAGGGAAAAAAACAAGGACAGGACCTAAAGTATGCAATAGTATAGTTGTGGGAAAGGAAAAAGAAATGGAGATAGCATGTTAAATATTTTTATCTTGAAATTAATGAGTGATACAATCTTGAAATCACTTTTCAGTTCATCCTTACAAGCCTACTGTCATAAAATGAACAGAGGTTGGCACACCAGAATGCTTTAATTTTGCAAAATATATGCTATAACATTGACAACATAGTATCATTAACTATTTTACAAATACAAAATGCTAAAAGCATATTTATCTATATATAGTTTCGGGAATGGAGATTTCAGGCTATTCTTTTCTTCATTATTGTCCAAAATCAAGAATATAAATTAATCTAATATTAGTTCTCCATCTATAAAATGAACTTAAGGTAATAAAAGAGAGACCAAAGGTCTAAGGCAACAATGCAGAAGAAGCAGTTGATCGTGTTGCAAAGACCAATTGATAAAAGAGGACATAAAGTATACTCCTCTGTGAAGACTGAAGATAACATTATAGCAATGTATGTCATTGGGATAACTTAAGTGTTTTCCCACCTCACCTTCTTCACCCCTTTCTATAAGTTTGATTGCAGCATGTGATATAATATCCTTGTATGTAGTAATCCTCAGGGTGAAACTTTATATAAAGAAGAGATGGGTCAGTTTTGATTAGGAGGTGATTACTGAATAGGGTTTTGTAAGTTTTTAAAATACTTTTCTACAAAATATAGTCATTTGAACCAATGAGAAAGTAACTTAGTTTTGAATATTGTATAAATAAAGTATAATGTGTCCTTGCTGTGATTCACAGCTACATTGTATAGGAGCCCCCCATTATAATGAGGTCACTTCAACACCCCATTGATGAGGCTTAAAAAAGATTCACTTAATGCCAATTTCCTACTATTGTTAAGAGTAGGGTATTTAGAAATTTGGTTAATTATGTAATACTCTGATATGAGTTCTATTTGTAGGCCTATTTATTTTCCTTTCTTGTTTCCTCCGTTCTTGACATTTCCAAGACTTACCTATACTGTACCTAGTGCCATAAGATAGGCTACTCTGTAGGGTGGACAGATGTATGAATATCACCATCAGTTTTAAATATTATTTAGATATTTGAGAGGGCTGTTTTTATATAATATGGAAAGCAAGTCCTAGGATAAATGTACCATGACTTGGACAACAGTAACAACATTATTAACAATAATGCTCTATCTTATTTTGCTCAAACTTCAGTTATTACTCTTTCCCTTCTAAATATAAAATACTTTTGGATGGGGTCAGTAAACTTGTTCTTGAGAGATACAGATAGTAATATTTTAGGCTTTATGGGCTATATGGTTTCTGTCATAACTACTCAATTCCGTCAGCCCTGTAGCATAAAAGGTGCCATAAAATGCTATAAATGAATGGGCCTTGCTTTGCCTCAATAAAACTTTATTTATGGATACTGTAATTGAATTTCATATAATTTATACATGCATTAAATATTATTTTGATTTTCTTTCAATCATTTAAGAATGTAAAGTTCACTTTTAGATTGTAGGCAATGCAAAAAAACAGGCAACAGTCAGGATTTGTCCCATTGGCTGGGGCTTGCCAACTTCTATTTTAGAATATTCCTTTTCTACAGGATACTAGCATCTGCTCTGTTAATCAAAAGCACATAGTATGTGAGCTTTCAGAAAAATGCTCTAAGAATTTAAGACAGAGAAAGGAGATGCCCCACAAACAAGTTAACTCTTCGTAGACTGAAATATGTCCTGAGTGCCTAATGTATATTTGCCAGGCTCTGTTCAAGATATTGGGATATAGCAATGAACAAAGAAGTCAAAAGTCCCTGCCTTTGTGAATTTACATTTTAGTGGGGTGACAAAGTACATAAGTGAACAAGTAAATGTATAGTACTAAGGATGGTGATAAGAACTGTAGATAAAAATAAACAACTGGGGAACATGGATAGGTAGTACAAGAGGGACAGAGGGTTGTAATTTTAAATAAGGCCATCAAGAAAGGCTTCATTGATAAGGTGACATCTCAGGAAAACCTAAAGGAGGAGAGGGAGCAAGCCATGACTTATGTAGAACCTGTATGTCATCCTTAGTATAATGGACAGTTTTGAGCAGAGCTGTTACATGATCTGATTTATATTTTAACAGGAAGACCATTTAGGAAACTATTGAAATAATCCAAGTGAAAAACGATAGCCACTTAGACCAGTGATAGAAGTGAAGGTAGTGAGAATTATTGATAAATATTTTAATGTAGTGGTACCAGATGAAATAAGAGAATGAGAGAAGTCAGGTATAAGATCCAGGATTTTGATTTGGGCAATTGGAAGGATGAGCTGCCATTTACTGAAATGGAGAAGACTGGAAAGGGTATGTTTGAGAAGGAAGACTACCTTTAGAAATCCAAGTAGAGATGTAAAATTGGCAGTTAGTTATATGCATCTGGAGTTCAGAGGAGAAGTCTGAGCTAAAGATATTATTTATTAGAGTCATCTACATCTTAATGGAATTAAAATACATGACAACTGAGATCATCAAGGTATTTACTAGTATTACTATTTTTTTATTTATTAAAAACACTGCCCCTGCTTCCTTTCCCATCCTCTTGCAAAGAGGTAGGTGGTTACTAGTAACCTATCTCCTCTGCTCAGTCACAAAGAGTGGAAGGGATCCCACTGAATCAGGAACCTGACCTACACAGGAAGTACTGTTAGCTGGCCATCCTCAAATTTTGTCATGGTGTAAACATGGGAGTGAATGTGAATTTTCCCAAGTACCTCCTTGCTGGAAACTGTTTGCACTGGAGGTAAGTGTGAAAGGGGAGGTTGTGGGAAATGATGGGGTGAGGGCTTCCTAAACCTTTCCCAAGCCTCAGAAATGGCTTGATTCTGAGGAACGGAGAAGGTTCAGGCTGGTTCTTATTGCCCTGAACCAGTTCATACAGCCCTAATTTGACTTGCTTTCCTCAAACTGGGAGTCAGAAATCCCTTTTCTCTTCTGTTTTTCTGCTGCAGAAATTCCCAACACTCCCATTTTGTGGGCTCCAGAAAGGGGTAAGCGAAGACTTCAATCCCAGCCAATCATTTCCAGATTAATAATTTTTAGTGTTTTGGTTTCTTTTTTCATCATAAAAAAATGCTTGGACCCATTTTTCCCATCTGTTTAATTTCCTTGTGGACTGTTATGTATCTATGTTCTAGGGTCATTCTGTATCCCTGGGCAATAGAGTTCAGATCCATCTGCTGTTTCCATTTGTGTGCTATTCTCTTGTGGATTTTCATATGCAGTTTATCAATGACTGTTTCCTAGGTGGAAGACACCCAATTCAGGAGACTGCTACACTCTCAATCTCATCTTCTCCTGAATGGTGTTTATTCCCCTGCTGACAGCTTTTCACTATCCTACCCAACTGCTTCTAATGATATGTCATTGCTTCTCTGCTGTCCTGTCTTCCTGCTCTGAGTTCCTTTGATTTTGTCTTGACTTCTTGCCCCACTCTATTCATCTCCTGAATGATTTGCATTCTTCACTCACTGGTGCTTTGTCCATCAGCAAATGGCCTAGTACTGCCATATCCATCTGCTATTTTAGTATTTTAGACTGCCCAGCATTATCTATCTGCCCCCGCTCCCATTCTTCTATACCATGGCCTTCCAGTTGCTATGCTACCCACCTGCCTGATCTTGCCCTACCCAATCTATGCCTGTAATTTTATAAATAGGTTCACATTGTTTAGCACTTCTGCTACCTATCTCCCCTTGCCTTGTGCCACTAAGTTGGACTACTGACTGAGTTTGCTTGAATACTATCTCTTCTACCTATTTAACACATATGGCTGCCCCATTAATTAACTTGAGATATTGCACTCATCTGTGTACTTAGCCTTGAAGCTTGCTGATTGTCCCATATTGCCTCCTTTATACTTCTCTGCATCTGACAAATCACTGGCACTGTTCCTCTGTTGTCTCGTAAACTGATCAGATTTGATTTCCAAGAAAAGTGTTGCCTAAATATTGTCCAAACATACCTTAGAAATAGGAAAATGCTTCACTATTTAATATTCCAGTCCAGTTTACTCCTAAACTAACTTTGAAACTCACTACCACCCATCCTTTGTGCTTTTTTTAAATATAATTCCACATTCTTCCCTTTATTTAGGAATAGATTTTTTTTCTAAACCATTTATCATCTCTGCTTCAGTTGCCTTTTCACATCTGTATTATGTACTTTTGCTCCTCGTGTATGGGATCTTTCAATAACTTCCTTATACTAAATTTATTTCCTAATTCATTTTTCCTGATTTTTCCAGAGCTTCATGAGGATAATTACTCCTATTAATTTTGTGCTTTTTAGTAAGACCAGAGAACTTTTTGAAACTTAAAAGTATCATCTCTAAAAATAATAAACTTAGTTACCTTATAGTTCTTAGTAGTTAAGATTAAAGTAGCTTTTCACTCTGCTCCATTTTTTCCTATGAGAATATAATTTCTCAGCCACCCCATAATTTATGTAATATCAGTTCTTTAGAGGTCATTTTGATGTATTTATCTTTCACTTCTTTTAGATTAGCTTTTCTTTTGTGTGGTAAATTTTTTAAATTGACATTTTCCCATTATGTTCTAAGTACTTGGCATCAGAAAAGGACTTGGAATACAAAATTACTTGCACTATAAAGCTTGTTCTCTTATTCACTTACATTCAAATGAAAGACAAGATCAAACAAGAAGTGAAGAAGAATTTTGGTGAAATGTGCAAACAATTTCAAGAGTCTAAGGAAAAGTAAAGAGGGGTCTGTACAAGTGCATGCAAATGTTTGTGTGTATAGATTTGAAGTATTCTATATATATAGCCACAACATCGTTGTACCTTAAAGTGTGGAAAACTCTGAGTATCCATATTAATTTTATTTTAGGCTAAAGATGAAAGGGAAAGTAAAAAGCTAGAGAGAGTGAATAATTTAATGAATAAGGAAAAAAGTGTGGACAGGGTTTTTTTTTTCCCTTTAATAATAGAGATAAAATTAGTATGACAAAAAAGGCTGCTCTAGGAAAGTCAAGAAAATTATTTCAGTAGCTTTTTTTATTGTGATTAAAATACACATAACATCAAATTTTCCATTTAGCCATTTTTAAGTGTACAATTCAAGGCATTAATAAATTCACAATTTTTTGCAACCATCACCACTGTCTGTTTCCAGAACTTTTTCATCATCCCAACAAAAAATCTGTACCCATTAAGCAATAATTACCCATTCCACCCTTTTGCATTACCAGGTAGCCTTTATTTTATTTTCTGTCTCTGAATTTCCCTATTCTAGATGCCTCCTATAAGTGGGCTCATACAATTTTTGTCCTTCTATTTTAACTTATTTCACTTAACAAAATGTTTTCAAAGTTCATCTGTGTCATAGCATATATCAGAATCTCATTCCTTTTTAGGACTAATATTCCACTGTACACATATTCCATACATAATTAACACAAAAGACAGAGAAGTCCAACATAGTATTTTAGGAGCAGAATAAATTATAAACTTTTAGAAAGGCTACTGAAGGCCAAATAAGATTTAGAAGATCTTATATTCTAAGAATGAGAGGTAGAATGAAGTTGGAATAACAGATGTTGGATATTTGAAGGACAGTGAGAATTATTCTGAAGAAGGTTGGATTAAAAAAAATATACCAACTTTAGGACAGAATGGTGGCATGTCTTTGAAATGAGATAATACAGACTTTTAAAGAAGAATCATAGACATTTAAAAGACAAGGTCATAAATGAAGGTAATGGGACTGAGAACCAACAATGGGAATAGATATTTATTTCAATTCAGGGGTCCCCAATACTGGATACCTATCCTTCTGCTTATAAAGATTTTTTTTCTAAAAAGATTCCTGGGCCCAACTCCCAAAACTCTGATTCAGCAGGCGGGGGTATGATTTAGGCAATGAGTGTGCACATGTGTGTTGTTTTAATTCACTGGTAAACACAGTCTGAGTTAAATTGAACTCTGTATCATAGTGTCCTAGACCTGATAAGAGTTACAAAAGTTGGAAAGAATTTGTCCTTGTCTTCAAGGAGTTTAAAACTGGAGTTAAATATGCAATAATAATGGATTTAGTAAAGAAGACTTTCAATCCATTAGGTGATAATGTTTTCAATTGTTAACTCAACAAACTTTTTTGGTGATTTTACGTGCTGCATCTAGCTTTTCTCAGCTAAAGTTTCCCATCTAAACCATCAAACACACAGAATGATTTGAATAACTGTCTTCTCAATTCTCCCAAGGGTGGTACATATACTGGTACTATTTTATATTCATATGAGAAAAGCTAATTCTTATATCCAATAATTCTCTCAGAACCTATTAAAAAAGGCTTGCTCTATGACATGAGGTCTGTTAGGCATTATGTGCCAAAATTAAGGCTTTACTCTCAAGGTGCTTACATTCCAGGAGAGGGGAAAAGACACTTAACAACAAGATGCATTTCTAATATCATCTACAAAATTTTGTTATTTTCCTCTAATTCTTCAGGGGAACTGTTCAGAGTCAAAGAGACTATACATAAGGAAATCCTTTCACCTCTTCTAAGCATCATTGACTCAGGAATAACAGTATCTTCTATATTAATTTCTCATCACCACTGAATGATCCTGGTAATAGTTTAAATGCCAGTAAGAATCTCTTTAATTTTAAACCTACCTGAATCAGTGTTAGACTAGTGATTTCATTGACAGCTGTTAATAAGGAACATTAACTAAAGCCAAGGTTATTAGTTTAATAATAATAGTGGAAGAGTAGAGAATGGCTAGAGATAGGTAACTAATGTTCAGGAGGTTGTTCTCGTATATAATTAAAAGCACAATGAGGGATTTCCCTTCTTGAGGTACAACCATATACTAATATGGAAAATGTTTGGCAATTTAGTTTATTCTCAGTGTCAACTAAAGCTCACTTAAATTCTTGGTGTCAGAAGTTTCAGCCATATTAGTTTTAATTTTGTATTTGTTTAATTAGTCATTTGAATTAGGAATTTATTTGTCCTCCCTATATTGATGCATACTTTCGAACATGAGAGCAGTTAGCTTCATTCCTATTGCTCACTACTTCATACTGATTCCGTTAAAGGGATCTCTTTAAAGTGCTGCACTTAAGTTTTCATAACCTACTTTTCTTCCCATTTCCTACTGAAATTATTTATTTTAACAGCACAGCTAAGGGAAGATTGAAGTTCTTGTGTCAGGAAAGAAGGACTAAAATAGAAATTACATCCAAATTTAATTTTTCTTATTGCTTTACTTGTATTCATTCTAAAAAATAGTTTTATTGCAAAAATAGAATATGTAGGTACCTTAAAGTGTAAGATCTTGGATAAAAGAAAATATAATAGTAACATTTTATTAAATTTGTTCTATTAATAATAAATATAATTTTACTTTTCTTGTAATTTATGAGTCCTATTTTTAAGGAAAACTAAATTGAAAAGAGTTGTATAATGTGTTTATTTTTTGTGAAAGTTAACCTTTCAGACAATATTTCTATCGTAATCTTATTTAGCTTCACATCCTTTTTATATTTAATAATAAGAAAATCTTCTAAATTTCTTTGCAGTCAGGAGAGTCTTTGTAGGCAACTACTCCTAACAAACAAGTTGTCCTCTAATTTTTCTTTTTCTTTTTCTTTTTTTCCCTTTCTCTCTTGAAGAACAGTAGAATATACTCAGGATCTTGCTAAGGAAGATGTAGCTTCCTTACATGAACATTTTATAGAAGTAATTTCACTCCTTCGGTTTTGAACATAGACAGTGACATGCAGGCCTAATAACCAGTCTCTTTATTCCCTAATCTCTTTTTCTCCCCTTTGCCTTCTTACCATCAAATGTTTCAGTGTTGCAGGGAGAAAAACTAATACATTACACCTGTGGCACAAGTGGAGCAAGAGATACTTGGATATTTATATAATACCACTCCCAAATGTTTTGTATTTATCTCTGAATGCTTTCTAGATTTCTTAAAATATTTAGTACTTACAAGAAATAGAAATTATTTTCTATTTA